GGGGGGGGGGGGGGGGGGTTGTTGTGAGTAGGTCTATTAAGAAATTGAATTTAGATCGAATTTTATGTGATTTAAATTTAATTATAATTTAAAAACTATCATTTAAATTCAATTCGATCATCTATCTGTTTTGATTTTGTCGGTCCACATTCGAATATGTTAAAAATAAAAATTTGATGGGAAAATTCGATATATATATCTGACTAATAAGATTCATAAAATCCAATTAATTGACAAACCTAATAAAAAGGTAGAAAATAAATAGATTTTTTTAACTGTGTTACTAAAGAGGTTGAGTGGTATAATATTAGTAACTAAATTGCAATCTATATTCCTTTCTTCCTGCTTACTCCTTCCCCTGGCAGACGCGCGCGCACACATATATATATATATATTTATATAATAAAATAAGAGTGTGTTTGAATTTTGTCCCAGTCATATTTTCTCCCTCAAAATTATCATCAATCACTTATCTCACTTATTATTCTTTTGTCAGGTTCAAACGTCAAATCGCATCACTTATTTCTATCATATGTTTAATTATTTATATATTTATTCTCTAAAAATATCACATCATTCATTTTTATCATATATTTAATCATTTAATATGTGATTAATTTATAGTTAATATATTTTGAAAAAAATTAATATAATGGGATCGAGTTTTTGGACGCTCGAATTTTATATTTTATCGTGTCTTCGGGTACGGGTTATGACTAGTATATATATATATGTATATATATGACTAGTTTAGGGACCCACCACTGTGAGAACCCTTACATGTGATGTAAGCCAAGCCAAACAAGGCAAGTATTAAAACTGTTCAAATCTAGTTCTTAAATAGTGGTTCAAAACAAGTTGTCACGAGTTTCAGATGTATCGTTCAAACTGGATTTATTAAAATTTTTATTCAAATTCAAGTTCGGTTAGGTTTGGCTCGTCTGATTAGAAGTATTAAACTCAACTCAAATTCAATCTAATGCTTAATATTGTGTTAAACTCGTTTATATATATGCGTGTGTGTTTTTATGTGTTTTAACAAGACAGATGAGTCATTGTTCAAGGTTGACTAACTTATGAATGATGCTTAAAGTTGATCTCGAGAATTGATGAAAAACACGATTCATTTGTAGTCATATTTTTTTATTGTCTGGAGTTGTATGTAATTTCCCGCCATTTCGAGGGTTCTATAGAACCCTAGAATCAAATATTTTATTTTAATGTCACCTTGAAGGAACATTTTAAAGGATGTTAGAAAAGTGAAGATAAACTCGTGATAAACAACTAAATATTTGTATAGAAAAATTTAGAGGTACCACAAGTGCTTGACACTTGAAAATATACTAGCCGCCAGTGGCCTATAAAAAAGGGTCCTATTGATTCAATTTTAACACGGACTCCGACTTTGTTAAACACTTGCAAGGACAATGACCTATAAAAAAGGGTCATATTCATTCGATTCTAACCCCAACTCTGATTCCATGCTATGTTGGTCGAATAAATAAATCTCAATCAATTGAACATCAATAAGTCATTCTCATGCCCAATCGAGAAACCAACCTAATTTTTTTTAACGTGTATTGTGTTTATATAAATATATATGTTCTCAAATTAAGTTCAAATAACATTTTTTTAAAGAAAAAAAAAACCCGTGGACAAACTAGAAAATATTTCATTTGAGAGGCTGCCATTACAACAAACCTTGATCATTACTCACATTACTATATGATCATAACAAAGTCATTAATATTAACATTTGGACGAACTCCAATGAAATCTCTAACATTTGTACTAACTATTTTTTCTGTTCCTAAATATCTGTAGTTTAAGATTTTTGTACAGGGATTAAAGAAGCTATTAAATAGTTCTAATATGAGTAAAAAATAATTGCACAAGACGATACCCTTATTCAATACGTATTGAAAATGAAAAGAATATGAAAGACACTTAACATTCACAAAATATAATGCATTGAAAAGTTAAGGGTAAATTTGGAAGACAAAAAATATTAATTATGCTTTGGTTTCATTAAATGACAGATATTATAGAACAAAAAAAATTGTATAAAACGACAAATATTTAGGAACGGAGGGAATGTCTTGCAATCCTTTACTATTTTAACATTGACACGAACTATGGGTAAGACCTCCATTATTGAAAAGATGACATCAAAACAAGAACAATTAGCCCATTTTTAATTGAATTTCATAAGATAAATAAGTTTAGAGAAAAAACGAGTAATTTCTTAACAAATATATCTCATTGAGGTCTTTGTGCCACTTCAAAAATAACATGGGGTGGTAAGATAATAAATTTAAAGTTCAGTGGCTGAGTTTGACTTCTGGTAATTCAGAGGTATCAAGTTTAACACTTTCTATACTCCATAAGGGTGGGTCACCTATCCTTGTTCTTCACGAGACATATTTTAAACTTGTTCGGGCTATGATGTCCAGTATTCAAGTTTGAGAGAGTAATCGATACACACCTGAACACTCATTAATAATAATAAAAAAAATAAAAGTCCATTGTATCATGGGTGTCATTATAATTCACCACAACCACGTTTATAATATCAACAAGAAGGATCCTAATTAAAGGGCTGCTTGACCCACAGGCAGCTAGAAAAGTGCCACCAATAATGTCCACACGTGCTTTGCTTAATTAAATTCCAAATTTTGATTAATTTGAATCACAAGTAATAAAATATAAATATGGAATAATGGCTGGTTTGGCCTCTAGCTGCACATATTAGACTCTTCGTGGTGGAGAAGACTATGGTATCTGGAAAAAAATATTTGGTATCGTAACTTTAATTTTTATAATATTTGTGGATATTTTTATAACAACAATTTTTATGAATATTTTTATCACTTTTGTGGTAACTTTGAGATTGATTATTACTAATCGTAAAGCTACCGCAAAAATGATAAAAATATTCAAAAAAAATTATAAAATACCCACAAAAGTTATAATTACAGTACGGTACCAAACTTTTTTTTTTGGGTANCTAGCTGCACATATTAGACTCTTCGTGGTGGAGAAGACTATGGTATCTGGAAAAAAAAATTTGGTATCGTAACTTTAATTTTTATAATATTTATGAATATTTTTATAACAACAATTTTTATGAATATTTTTATCACTTTTGTGGTAACTTTGAGATTGATTATTACTAATCGTAAAACTACTGCAAAAATGATAAAAATATTCAAAAAAATTATAAAATACCCACAAAAGTTATAATTACATTAAGGTACCAAACTTTTTTTTTTTGGGTTCCAAGGACTTTTCCCCTAAGAACTATTATATTGAAATGATTAAACTAATCTTAAAAACA